AAGGATAGCTATAAGGGAGTTGACTCACATTAATTTCCTGTGCGTGTGTGTTACCTTCTAGGTTAATTCTTTTTGATCTAACCTTTTCTCTAGTTCCTGGTCCCCTTTTCCTATTGGCCTCAGTTGCTTTTAAGGTATCTGCTTTAGTTTCTTTAGTAAGGGCAACAAATGCTAGCTAATTTTTTAGGTGTCTTACCTATCCTCACCCCTCCCTTGTGTGCTCTCGCTTTTATCATGTGCTCAAAGTCCACTCCCCTTGTTGTGTTTGCCCTTGATCTAATGTCCACATATGAGGGAGAACATACGATTTTTGGTCTTTTGAGCCAGGCTAACCTCACTCAGAATGATGTACTCCAATTCCATCCATTTACCAGTGAATGATAACATTTCGTTCTTCTTCATGGCTACATAAAATTCCACTGTGTATAGATACCACATTTTCTTAATCCATTCATCAGTAGTGAGGCATCTTGGCTGTTTCCATAACTTGGCTATTGTGAATAGTGCCGCAATAAACATGGGTGTGCAGGTGCCTCTGGAGTAACCTGTGTCACATTCTTTTGGGTATATCCCCAAGAGTGGTATTGCTGGATCAAATGGTAGATCAATGTTTAGCTTTTTAAGTAGCCTCCAAATTTTTTCCCAGAGTGGTTGTACTAGTTTACACTCCCACCAACAGTGTAAGAGGGTTCCTTTTTCTCCGCATCCTCGCCAACACCTGTTGTTGGTGGTGTTGCTGATGATGGCTATTCTAACAGGGGTGAGGTGGAATCTTAGCGTGGTTTTAATTTGCATTTCCTTTATTGCTATAGATGGTGAGCATTTTTTCATGTGTTTTTTGGCCATTTGAATTTCTTCTTTTTTTTTAGGTGTCTTACCTATCCTCACCCCTCCCTTGTGTGCTCTCCCTTTTTGAATTTTTTCTTTTGAGAAAGTTCTGTTTAGTTCACTTGCCCATTTCTTTATTGGTTCATTAGTTTTGGGAGAATTTAGTTTTTGATACTGTTTTCTTTTTTTTTTGTTAAATTTTATTATTCATATGTGCATACAAGGCTTGGGTCATTTCTCCCCCCTGCCCCCACCCCCTCCCTTACCACCCACTCCGCCCCCTCCCTCTCCCCCCCCAATACCCAGCAGAAACTATTTTGCCCTTATTTCTAATTTTGTTGTAGAGAGAGTATAAGCAATAATAGGAAGGAACAAGGGTTTTTGCTGGTTGAGATAAGGATAGCTATACAGGGCATTGACTCACATTGATTTCCTGTGCGTGTGTGTTACCTTCTAGGTTAATTCTTTTTGATCTAACCTTTTCTCTAGTTCCTGGTCCCCTTTTCCTATTGGCCTCAGTTGCTTTTAAGGTTGATACTGTTTTCTTAAGCATAGTTTGATAACAAATCCATGAGACTGTAAGTTCCATGATGACAGGGACCATGTGTGTCTTGCTCATTATCATTTCCCTAGTCTCACATTTCATAATACTCAGATATTTATGGAATAAATAATTAAATGATACTATTCTAAGAAATTCACTGGAGTATCATGTAAGCATAAGGCATTATCATTATGTGGTCCTAGTCTGCAGAGGGCGTCATAGATTTTGTGTATTTATTAATATAATCTATGAACACTATATGGAGCAATGTGATCTTTGCCATTTATTTTGCGAAGAAATATTCTTTCTCCATCAGTAGTTGTTAATTTTGTTCCATTTAAACCTGTGTGTCAGGCAGAGGAGGGAATTGAAGCCCTGGGTTTTAACCCCAGCACTGCAAAACACCAACAACTAAATGCTTGTTTAAATAAATGAACTTTATTGTAGTCCTTAAAAGCATGGACTGAAGTCAAATAGGTCTGAATTCAAGTCCAAACTGTGTTCCTTTTGTCAGGTTATTTAACTTTTGAACCTTTGGTTTCCCAGTAATATCTACCACATAGGATGGTTGTAAGTAATTATAAGAGCACATGCATGTAAAATGTTAGGTACATTTTCTGGCACATAGTTATTCAATAAAGTTAATTGTTATCATTAAAAATCTCAGCTGGGGCCAGGCATGGTAGCTCAAGCCTATAATCCCAGCTACTTGGGAAGCAGAGATGGGAAGAATCAGTTCAAGGCCAGCCCACGTAAAAAGTTTGCAAGACCCCATCTCAACCAGTGGCTGAGCCTGTTGGTACATACCTGTCATCCTGGCTGTACAAGGAGTCACAAATAGGAAAGGATCATAGTCCAGGCTGGCCTGGGCAAGATCCTGCCTCTAAAATAACTGATGTAAAAATGGCCAGCAGAGTGGCTCAAGTGGTAAAGTGTGAGGCCTGAGTTCATCTCCCAGAACCATCAATAATAATAATAATAATAATAATAATAATAATGAGCTGGATGTAGTAGTACCTGCTTGTAGCCCCACCTACTTGACAGATGAAGTTGGAGGATCACTTGAGCTCATGAGTTCAAGACCAGCCAGGACAAGATAGCAAAACCCTATCTCAAAAAAAAAAAAAAATAGTCTCTTGGATTATCCAAGACCTAGTTAAGTTTTGTTGAAAATTTGACTTCCCACTCAACCTAAATTTAGCTATATCAGTTGTGGAAAATGAGGATTTGTTTATGTCCATCGAAAGAGCATAATGAAAAACTTCCTTAGCAGAAAAACTCAGATTCAGTTTTTCCTTCTATATTCACACAACACAGATCACTTTTGTGACTCCAAGAGTAATGTGAATTTCTCCCCGCCAGCAAGCAAGTCATCAGTCTGCATCAGATAACAGCTGGGTGTCCTCTAATTCCATTCTGGTACTATCTATCTGGAGATAGCATCAGATCTCGCTGGCCAAAACTCAATTCTCAAGATTTTCCCCCTTCACTTTAGATGACAGGCAAGCCCCAGGGTTTTTTTTGTTTTGTTTTTTTTAACCTGTGCTTCTGACAGAGGAGCTGTAAATTGGGGTTTCCACAGTCCCCTTCCTAGAGTTCAGTTAGTTTGAGTGGCTCAAAGAACTCAAGATGCTAGCTAGTTTATTATAAAAAAAAAAAACTACAAAGGGTATGAAAAAGAAATGCATTGGGAGAGGTATGGGGCTCCCATGCTTTCTCCAGGTCCACTGCCTTCTAGGAATCTCATGCATTTAGCTATCTGGAAGTTCTCCAAACCCTGTCTTTTGAAATTTTATGGAGATTTCATTGCATAGGCATGAATGAAGCATGAATAACTGTGTCAAAATATGATTGGACCAAAAGGCTATGATCTAGTGCTGACAGACTGGGTAGGAAAAGCCAGTAAAGCCTCTTTGTTCAGATTTTTCAGCATTTCTTCCTTGCAGGTATGGCGTACGACCCTTCTTATATGGGGGTTTTATCATCTACTATGGGACAAGGTAGAGGAGGATTTCTTCATGGGTAGCAGCTACTGGAGGGAGAGACAGGAAGATGACAATTTTATGACTTGCCTTAGGAAAACATAAATTTTAGTTTCTATGGCCTGCCTTAGAGGGAGTTATGAGGTAGGAACTGTGGATAAAGACCAGAAGATAAATTTCAGAATATCACACTAGATACTTTATTGAAGTTAAAGATATCTGGGTAAGAACTCCTAACTTTTATTAATGTTTTTTTCTTGGTTTTAGGAAAGATATGTGGCCAGCTTGATGCCTTTACAGAAAAGTATTTCTCCATGGAAGGTATGAATACATTCAAATAATTTCCTTTTTGAGCTGTGTAACTATAATTATCTTTTTGAATGTGTCTGTTCCTAATTTCTGAATACAGATCTGTCTCGTTTTCTAGAGTCCACCCCAATTAAGGCAGTTCCTTCCTGAAGAGTTTATGAAAACACTTGAGAAAACTGGACCTCAGCTAACTTCTAGAATAAAAGGCGATTGGATTGGACTTTATAAGTTAGTCCCCTCCCCCCCTTTACCCATCTGTGGAGTTTTACTTAAAAAGAAAATAAAACAAAAAAGTAGACTTAAACTTAGATTCTTTTAGAAATTCTATTGTTTGACTTGGTTTTCTGAGCTGTAAGAAAGATACTGTAGAGAAGAAGTCAATCATAATGAAACTTTGCTTTTTTTTTTAATGTAGGCATTTTCTAAAGTCTCCAAATTTTGATGGCTGGTTCAAGGCAAGGCGGAAAGAAATGACCCAAAAATTAGAGGCACTTCATCTAGAAGCTCTTTGTGAAGAGGTTTGAAAACTGTGTGTTTGTGTGATGACTAACAAGTATTGAAACTAAGTTATTCTTAGAGGTTGAAAATAATACTCATATCCACTTCTTTATAAAAAGTAATCATAACTAACTTTCCTAGATCCTGTGTTATTTTTCAGGGATTATATAGGTTCTTTACATGAAGACTCCTTTATAATCTTTACAGTTCATTGAGGTAGGTATGTTTTGTGCATTGTGGAATACCTGTAGCTTACAAGTTAAATCAATTTGCCTCAGTTCACATTGCCACTAAGTAATAGAGTCAGCAGTGTGCTGGAGTACAACCTGCTTTGGTCCATAGAGCTAACTTGCACATCTCTTCCCAGTTCTGCATTCAGTGACCTCTAGTTGGTAACTTGAAATCACATGTGGTAGGAATATTATACCACAGAAATTGGCAAATGCTATAAACCAGAGATTTTTTTTTTTTTTTCTGGAGGATCTTACCAGTATATCCTGGAATTAGGATTTAAATTCCTGCAGTCTAACTTCATCTTGTTTCCAATATGACTTAGTCACCTCTTTCAGTTTGTGTTAACAATTTTTCCATGTGATTGGGCTGAATTTTTTATAATTTATCATCAGCTTATTTTAAATTAAACTACTTGTGAAAACATAAAGGATAGTTTTATTTTGATTTGTATTTAGCTTTACATGTTAAGGTGTGATGGACTTGGTGGCTGTGGCTTTGAGAAAAAGACTATGGTAAAGGGAACTTGAAAGTAAGCCCAAAAGAGCATCTTTGAAAATACAAAGTTTATATCCACTAATATATTTATGTTCAGTTACTTTTATTTATTAGCTAATATTCCTTATAAATTACTCACTGTTGTGGAGGTGATGAGGGTTAATATTGCATTAAGCTGCAGTTTTTGTTTTTCTTGCTTGATATAAAAGGTCCACCTCGGAAAGGAAATACTTTCTCACATTTTATTTTACTTCCAAGTATTAGACAATTGTTCTGACTAATATCTAAAATTACCTTATTAATAATTTCTAGATTATTGTGAGAATTATTCTTGCATTGTAGTGCTATGTCTAAGCTAAATGCCCTGTTTTCTTCTTCCTTCTTGGTCTTTCTTCCCATTGACCTTGCCCATTGAGATAGAGAGTTCTGAATATTATTTTGAGTATGTACTGATCTGGAATTTGCTTATTATTCTAGGACCTGCTTCTCTGGATCCAGAAACACACAGAAGTAGAAACAGTAGACCTTGTATTAAAGTTGAAAAATAAGCTGGTATGTAACCAAAGCAGCTGAGGATTAAATCGACCTTTCTGTGAAGATACTTTCTCTCATTTGAGCTAGTAATCCATTTGTAATTTAAGATAGACCAGTTGATGGTAAATCTGACTAAAAATATTTGATCATTCAAGATCATAATGATGCTATATTATTCTAAAGATATCTACATGGAGTCTAATGAACTCTACAAAAACATTGTTACATGTTATGCCACATAGTATGCTTTATTATTATCTATGAATTTACAGAGAAGTCTTTTATTGAGTTCAGCAATGTATTATTAAAATGGCATATTAGTTGCTTTTTTAGCTTCTGTAAGTTCTAATCTAAGGTTGAAAGTTTCCAAGTTGTTAGACCATTAAAACTGTTTATATACAGAATATGGTATACTAATACAGATTCACTCAATTGCTGCCAAATGTTGTTTATGTAGTTGCAGGCCGACCGAGAGCATTTACCTGTGAAACCTGACACTGTGGAAAAGTTACGGACACATATAGATGCAATTATCTTAGCTTTGCCAGAGGACCTTCAAGGAATACTGCTCAAAACTGGCATGACATGATGGTCACCAGGATTTTCCAAAAAAGGACTGTGCACCATGAAGCATACTGACATTTCAACCAGACAGACAAAGAAGATTTCTCGGTGGTAGCAGAGTGGAAAATAGCCGTGAATGCTAGACACAGGGTGGAAAGACTGTGTTGTATAAATAGACCTTTTTAGTGCATTATTTTTTAAAAAATGGATATCTGTGGTGGTTCCACTTTAATACTGGAACTTCAGAAGGCATTTCTATATTTTTAATCATGTTCTAAAGTGCTCTTAGGAGAGACCTGTGGGGCCATCAGTATAAGTGATTCCAAACTGCAGTGCTGGCATTGCAGGTATTTTTTTAAATTGGTGCTGCTTTGCCCAATCATGTTGAAACTCAGGGGGATGTAAAAATAACGTTCACACTGGCTCTCTTCTTAAGAAGGAGAAGACTGAAGTGTCCAACTTAGTTAGAAGTAACTGATGCTTATGTAGTGCCTTCTGTTGCCTGCATGTTTGCAAGGTCCAGCTGCTGGTCTTGACCTTGGCTTCACCTTACTTGATGATGGTCTATAACTTCGTAAGGCACTGCACTGAGTAATCATTGCTTAAAAATATGTTTCTTCCTGCCCATTGTGTTTATTACTTGGCATGGTGGGTTTTCTTAAACTGCCGTGTAGTTTTCATTTCATTATTTTTTTAACCATTTTCAAAATTTAGTCTTGCCAGCTTCTCCAAAGGCAAGAATACATCTAGTATTAATTGTGAAGTAGTTTGTTTTCTCTTACTGTTTACTATTTGGGCTTATGTAAATGAATTAGCTTAGATTTTTTTTAAGCCATTCTAATTATGAACCTCATAATTAGCTATTTTTTAAGCCGAACTATTCTTACATCAAAGTCATTCATAAACCTTTTATGTGGTAGTTAGTTGAATGATTAGTTTGATTTCCAGCATTATTTGTTGGGTAGTGTTATTTTTCCAAAATTAATGTTTCTCAGAACACACTCTGTTGTCTCATATGACATGGGAACTTTTACCTGAATCACTGTTAAAATTTTTTATTGTTGTTTTTGTTTAATTCTGTTTTGTTTATACTACCTTGTCAAAAATAGAGGAGTATTATTTGGTATAGTAAAATTGTTTGGTTTGTGTTTGAATGAGTGTCCTACAGAAGCCACTATTTAAAATAGGCACACATGATGTAGCACATATGTAAATAGCTGTGTCTTAAGTACCCTCTAAACAACCAAATTTTGTTTTATGTATTTGTAAAAGAAATGGCTTCAGAAACTATCTCTTGTACTCTGTTGATGTAACTCTTTAAGGGCATTCCTGACCCAAGAAAAGCTCCTTGTGTTTGCAACTGTGGTCTAAAACCCAAGTGTGCCCTTTTCTGGATATAGCCTCTTGAAGCATACCTCTAAGTTATAGCAAGAATGTGGCATTTGGAAGAGATCAGTTGCCTCAGATCATATTAGTTATTTTGTGAAACAACAGTTGCCTTTCAGAAAAGGGACACTACTTTTATACGCTAAAGTATTTCATAACTTTCTGGGAAACTTTATTTAGATATAAATGGTCATCTTATTATTTTTCAAAAAGGTGTATTTTAATAATCTCACAATTTATATACAGTTTGTGACCTGAATTTAAAAGTTGTTTGCATCATATCAAGGATCTTTTACATTGTACCACTACATGATTTATCATTTCAAGTTTATTTTGCACAGCAAAGAATAGCATGATAATGGTGTTTTCACACTTACTGTATTTAACTGAAACTTAACACATGTTGAAACCATATAATACCCAGTTTACATTTTAATTTCAAATTATGTACTTGTTAAGAATAACTTAAAGTTGCATTGGAAATCTGCGAAAGACTGGTAATTTAATTTTTTCTGTGATTTTAGGAGTTGTCTTTTTTTTTTTAGAAGACTTAGTTAATATTCAAACCCTGCCATTTAATGCATTATCTCCACCAGCATCAGAAGGAATCACTGCTTTAAGGGTGTTATGTAATGCCTAGTGCCTTCTATTTACAGTGAAAAAGAGATTTTGTGGAGGCATTTATGGTCATTACCAAAAAATGAATTAAAGGCCTTGGATTTTAAAGCATTTGTATATCTTGTGTTATTTCTGAATGCGTTTAGAGTGCTTGGGAAAGCAAAGGTAATGAAACGTTTACGTTATAAGACTCCTTTTATTTCCTCAGGGTTTTTTTTTTTTTGATAGCACTGGGGTTTCAACTCAGGGCCTCACGCTTGCCAGGCAGGTGCTCTATCACTTGAACCACTATGCCTTACAGTTTTGGGGTTTTTTCTTTTAAAGAAATTAAAACGAAAATCTTTTTCTGTGTACACAAAAGATGAATAGGTGAATAGTCCAATTTAGTACCAAGTTGATTGAGAAATTTTATATGCTAAGAGTACATAGACTTTCTGAAATATTCTGATGATAGGCATGTGCTTGTAGTCCTAACTACTTGGGGAGTTAAGGCAGATGAACTGCTTGAGCTGGGTTTCAAGATAAGGTCAGGGTTAGTTTTTGGGTTAATAACAGCCTAACCCCACCCCCGCCAAATTTTTTTTTTAAACTTAATTATCTAGGTATCATTAGATTGTCCATTTTAACTCTTTTTTAAAACTTTGAATCTCAAATTGTTCTTTTTTTTTGCTTCCTCTTCCTTTTAAAAACTGGCAAATATATTATGCTCAGTGGTCAGTGGTAGAGCACTTGCCTAACATGCCCAAGGCCTGGGTTCAGTCCCTAGGACTGCCAAAAAGAAAGAAAAAGAGTCTTAAAAATAGCCATTATATTTTTTGAATTTTAACTTGTTTGCTAAAACATATTGGATGTTACTCCTCTTTGAAATTACTGAATAATAACCTTCGATACAAACTGCAAAACATATTAGTACATTTAAAAGAGATTGCACTAAAAATTTTTGGGCTTAAACAGCAGAAATTTTATTGTCTCCTAGTTCTGGAGACTGAAGTCCACTATCAAGGTGCCAGCATGACAAGTAGTATTCTGAGGCTTCTGACTTCGGCTTGTAAAAGGCCATCATAGACGCCACTACCGTTCATCTTGTCTTCACTTGCTCATAACTTAGTTCATTTTATTTTACAGACCTGGATTTTACTTTCTCCTTTTCAGCATACTTTGATATTTTGATAATTTGATATTAGGTCTAATAGAGTAAGCGTTAAGAGTTTGTATCCAGTTGGTATTACTTTTTCTACATAGGTTTGTTAGAATTTACCACTGAGGAGATTTGAATCTGCAGTTGTTCTTTTTGTATGTGTGAGAAGAAAAGTATCAGCATGGTATTTACACTTCCAGTTTTCAAAATAAAGTTATCTATATCTTCTTGAGTGAGCTTTGTTAGTTTGTCTTTCAAGAAATGTGCCCATTTCATCTAAGCTAACACAGTAGGGGTGAAGGTGTCCCTCAGCCTGCCTAGTAAGCAAAGGGCTTGAGTTTGAAACCGAGTACTGGTTTCAAAAAACAAACTAGTGGGCATAAAATTGTTCATAATACTGCCTAATTATTTTTTTAAACATCTGAAGAAACTATAGTGATATAACCCCTCTAATTCCTGACACTGGACGCTTATCATTTTTACAGATCTCAAGAGAACCAGATTTTGGTTCTATTCATTTTCAGTGTTTTTCTGTTTTCTATTGCATAGATGTCTACTCTTTTTCTGACTTTCTACTTACTTTTATTTCAATTTTCTCCCTCTTCTCTCTCTCTCTTTTTTTTTTTTTTAGTAACTCAAGGCAGGAGTTTGGGTCATTGCAATGAGACTTGTTTTCTAGGCTTTTGTGCTCTAAATGTTCCCTGAAGTACTGCTTTAGCAGCTTTTTATCAATTGTAGTGTGTCCTCTATTTTCATTCAGTTCAAAATACCTTATTTATTTTTTGACTTCTTTGATTCATGAATTGTTTACAAGGGTATTACTTAACTTTCCAAATACTTGAAGATTTTCTAAAAATCTTTTTGTTATTACTTTCTTTTTTATTGGCTTTTGTTTGATATATTTTAGAGGTACTGAGATTTGAACTCGGGGCTTTGTGCCTAATCCACTGCTTGAGCCTTGCCTTCAGCTCTTTTTGCTTTTTGCCCAGGCATGCCTGGACCACGACTCTCCTATTTTATGTTCCCTGTGCTGGATGAAAGGCATCACCACACCTAGATTTTTTTCCACATAGATGGGGGCTCACTGGCTTGGAACTGTGATCTTCCTGATTTCAGTCTCCTGCATAGCTTGGGGTGACAGGCATGCATCACTGCACCCAGCTACATTGCCCGGGATAGAGTCTTGTGAACTATTTGCCTGGGCTGGCTTCAAATTGCTGCCCTTCAGCTCTTGAGCTGTAAGTACTGCTCTTAAGCTGCCCTGCTCAGAGCCTGCTCCCTCTTCACACTCCTTGGGGAGTGTACTTTCCTGCTTTCTCTCATTCTCATGCTCAATTAAACTCTCAATAAAACTCTGTTACTACTTTGAAAAAAATTGCTGTCCTTTCAATCTCAGCCTCACAAGTAGCTAGTATTCCAGGCCTGAGCCTCTAGTACATTAGCTGTACATTAGTGGTGTCTGGCTAATGATGTGATCTTTTTTTCTGAGATGGGTCTCAATGTAGCCCAGGTTGACCTTGAACATGCCATCCTCCTGCGTTAGGCTCCCATGTGCTGTTATTATTGGTGTGTACCACCATGCCTGATTTTTTTTTTTTTGGTGGCACTGTATTTGAATTCAGAGCCTCATGCTTGCTAGGTAGGCACTCTTACTGCACTTTTGTTACTGATTTCAGATTTCTTTTAATGTGGTCTGAGTACAACTTAGTCTGGTTTAATCCAGATTTAAGATTTATTTTATGGCCCAGAATATGTTTACCTTGTTAAGTATTCAAGGTACACTTGACAACAATGAGTATTTTGCTACTAGTGGATGGAGTGTTTTATGACTATCACAAGGTCAATTTGGCTGCCATTGTTATTGACATCTTTCCAATTTTTTTCCTATTTCTTCTGGCTACTTGTGCTATCAGGGCTATTGAAAATCTTTCAATGGCTGGTGAAGTGCCTCAAGTGGTAAAGCACCTGCCTAGCAAAGCATGAAGCCCTGAGTTCAAACCCCAGTACCACCAAAAAATTTTTTAAAAAAATCTTTCGCCTACAATTATAGTTGTGGACTATATTCTTTTCTCCAAAATCTGATATTGATATAACTCCACTAGCTTTCTTTTGACTAATACTAGCCTGGTATATCTTTTTCATACAGTTACTCTTACCCTATTTTGTTTTTATATTTAAAATGTTTTCTTGTAAGTAGCATGTAGTTTGTTCATGCTATTTTATCCAGTCTGATAAAATAACATATTGTGGGGTTTAAATAGCAAATTTGGAGATATTTATGATGTTCATACCTGACATATATCCATATGTCAAATAAATCCCACAACGTTATTTTTGTTTAGTCAGTTACCTTTTTTAAAGTTTAAATCATTTCTTTTTTGTTTGTTTTTGGCAGCACTGGAGTTTGAATTCAGGGCTTCACTCTTACTAGGTAGGCGCTCTACCACCTGAGATACTCCCAGCTCCTCCCCCACTTTTTCTAAATTCGATCTTAGTGTGTAACCCAGGCTGGTGGGTCAAAATAATCTTTTTGCCTCTGAATTCTGAGATTACAGACATACCACAATGTCTGGCTCAAGAAAATTTCTTTAAAAATACATTTCATTGTGTGAGTTTAAGGTATACAGCATGCATATGTATGTTATATGATACATATAGATAGTATAAAGGTTACATAGTGAAGTAAATTATCCATCTTCTTGTATCATAACCTTTTTTTGTGTTTGTGGCAAGAGCAGCTAATAATGTGCTCATTTAGTGTGAATCCTGTATACAGTACAACTTTCTATACTTTTAGTCCTTAAATTCTAATTAGATCTCTAGACTTGTTCATCCTACATTATCTGCTACTTTGTGTCCTCTAACCTCCCCATTTCCTTTGCTCCCCCAGACAATTTTTTTTAATGTTCTTAGCCTTTTCCTGTTCTCTTTACTCACTTGTGTGTCTACATGGTATCATCATTCTCATTTTGTGTGGAGAGCTGCCTTTAACATTTCTTGTAGTGCAGGCCTGTTCTGGATGAATTATTTCAACTTTTATATGTCTGAAAATTTCTTTATTTTGCCTTTCTTTTAAAAACTGTTTCTACTGGTTAAGGATTTCTAGATTGAAAGTAAGTAAAAAAGACTTTATATTTTAACATACTGCTCCACTGTCTTGATTTTTTTCTAGTGAAAAATATGTCATTCTTTTCATTGCTCCTATTTACTTATTAAGTCTTTCTTTGACTGCTTTTAAGATGTTCTCACTGGTTTTGAGTTATTTGATGACAATATACCTTAACATATTTTTCTTCATGTTTCTTATGTTTGGAGTTAGTTGAACTTCTGTACTTGTGGCTTTATTGTGGAAGAATTATGGCTATTTTTTCTGTCCTTCTTCCCATCTTTCAGAGATGTCAATTACCAATATGTTAGGCTGCTTAAGGGAGTCTCAGAACTCCCCGTGCTTATCTTTTTAATTCTTTCCTTTCTTATATTTTGAATGGTTCCCATTGTTATGCTCTAAGGCCATTAATCGTTTCTTCTGCATTGTCTCATCTGCTGTTAATTCCATTTTCAGTGTTTTTCATCTTAGACATTGTTATTTTTATATGCTTGATTTTGTGTGTGTGTGTGTGTGTGTGTGTGTGTGTGTGTGTGTGTGTATACACACGTGTGTGTGCTGGGGATCAAGTCCAGGGCCTCATGCCAATCCAAGCACTGTACCACTGAGCTATAACCCCCAGTTCCTCCTTTTTTATATTTTATATGTTTTTACTTATTTACAGTAAATATGTCTGTTTTTGAGAGTAACAGATTGGGCCAAACTCTCCAACCTGCTCCCTTCTGAAAATGGGTGGACAGGATTCTTTGTCGAAGAATAGACAGTCTTTTTCTATTGCAGATAAATAATAATGTTCAGATAATGTGAACTTTAAAGTAGGTCAGTGATGGATTAAAGTCAGAGAATAAGATCAAAATTGAGTTTACAGTTTAGGGGGAATGAGGGCAAAAATTACACTGTTGTGCAACTAATAAGTGGGATTAGTCAGTTGCAGAGAACAAATGAGTGGCATGTATTAAACTGAAAGGATTAAAAGGGATAAGGCATATTAAGTGCAATGCCTGGCATGTTATAAGTGCTCAGTAAACATTGCTATTAAATATTCAAATTATTTCTAGAATACATACTCTCAAATATTTGAAAATTTCAAAGGCAATGATATGGTTTTTCTTTTTTTGCTATGTTGCTCAGGCTGGTCTTGAACTCATGATCCTCCTGCCTTATCCAAGGGTAGGGATTACAGGTATGTATACCACCGCACTCTGTTGATTTCTTTAATAAAATTGCATTCTAATGAAACAATCAGTAAAAATAATCACACCATTAAACTCCAAGGTTTAATGATAACATAATAAATACCACATTTGTGACTGAAAAGACCTCATTAAGAAAAATAATCAAAAGCTGTGCATGGTGGTGTATTTTGCTTTATACTAGAAATAAGTGAACATTTCTATTAGATTGCTTAAAGAGTTTCAAAGTCTTGAGTGTAGAAAACCAATTTCATGTTCCCCTTTGCATTCCCCTGCTATTTTTAAGTAGTGTATACTTATTATGTTTAATTTCTCCTTGAGTGATGAAGCAGAAGCACTTGTAATAGAGGCCCAGAGTTCAAGACCTAGTAGTACCACAAAAAAAAGAGAATTATTAAAAAAAACCCAAATCCATTAATTAAGTATATCCATTGTTGTCTATGAAATGGTTTTACCTTATTTGGTCTACTTGAGTAAAGAAGTCTTCACTTTTGATTGCCCAGAGTCACTTTTGAGAAGTTAGTGTTAGAAGGCTCGTTTTCAAGCCCTCACCAATTGGAATAAACAAGTTCTCTACTTAATAGCACAGAATAGTGCTAGTAGGAAAGCATTAAGTAGATTAAGTCTTCATCCTGGTAATGGGTCTGATTACAGTCTTAATTGATCATGGTTGTAGATTTTAAAAGTTGTAGCAAAGTAAGCACACAATTGGAGTATCTGAGCTAGTTGTCAATGAAAGAAAGAAGCAAAGGAAGACTGAAATGTTTAAAAATTGGTATTTCTGTAACTGCTGCTGCTGCTGCTGCTGCTTGATAAAGCCAATGACTCAAGAGACAGTGACAGAAGAAAGTTTTATTTATTGGCCAAAGAATGAAGAAGTGGGAGCCTCTGCTCACAAATCAGCCTCTGAAGTCGGGATTTGAGGGTTTACAGATACAGGATAGGAATAGTGAGAGAGGGAGAAGGAAGAGACTGATAAAGGGGAGGAATATTCATGTGCGCTCTGGGAATGGGCAGAGATCTTCCACTGGAGTGCCACCTCTTTAAGTTTCTTTTATGGTCCGGTGTTTCTGGTCATGGTGGTTTGTAGGTGTCTTTAGCCCAAAGGTTAAGGCCTCAAAGGAGACAGACATACCTGACATGAAGACAGAGCTGTCCAGCCTTTTCATTTTGTTGACATTTGTGGGTCTAAGTGAGGAGTCAGTGTTTTCATCACAAGTGTCCTTCAAGTCCCTAAAAAGCAACCTAGGCAACTGTTACCATCACAACCTACATGTAGCAGAGGTGGTATCTATGGCAAAGCTAGTGGGAGACTGGTAATGCATTACGCTGTGTGATCCCCAAGTTAGTGATTTTTAAGACAGCAAAAAGCAAGTGAAACTTAAGGTTTAGTTAGGGTTTTCCTTGGTAACATTTCCAGTTTGAACATCTTACAAGTACCACCTAACAAATGTAAGGGAAATTTGTTTACAATAAATTTCTAAATGTGGAATTTTTGGATTGGAGTATGTACATCTTACAATTTGATAGATTGGTTAAATAAGTTTTCTTGCATGAACACAATGAAATACAGTCTGTAAAAGTAACAAATATTTAAGTACTATGGATTTTAATAGCTAACATGTCCACTGTATATTAGATGGAAAAGGTGTTGTTTACATTTATATAGGGACAGTTGTATTTCAGAGAGGAAAATCTAGAAGAATGTATGTCAAACAGAGGTCAAATCATTCACCAAATTTGAAGATTATTTTTAAATTATAAGTAATGGATGAACAAATTTATTTTGTAAAACTGATATGCAAATGTTCATAGTAGCCTTATTCATAATAGCCCAAAAGTTTAAAAAAACTAAAGTCCATTAATTGGTTGGTAAACAGTGGTATACTCATACAATGTAATTGTAATCGGCAATTTAAAAAACTTGAAAACAACAACTAAAACTACTAATACATGCAGTAACATAAATAAATCTCAAAATCATTATGCTAGAAGAAGCCAGACACAAAACATCACATGACAGCAGATCAGTGGTTTAGCTAGAGGTTGGCAGTAAGGAGAGGCTGACTACAAAGGAACAAGATGAAACTTTTTGTGATAGTAGAAATGTTTGTATCATAATTATGATAGTGGCTACATTATTGAATATATTGGTTAAAATTAAATTGTACACTTAAGATTGGTGACTCTTACTGAAGCAAATTGTATTTCAATAAAGATTTGTAAAAGTACAAATAAACTCTCCTTTGACTACTACTTCAAAACTAGGTTCTTTCACTCCCTGGGAAGTTCCCCTTTCTCCTTTACATTTAGTCAGGTAACTACTAACGACTAACGGATTCTACTTCAAGTACTTGTACTGCAGACAGACAGACACACACACACACAGGGGAAACCTGTATTTTATATTACCTAATAAGTACTTAATATTTTGTTTTTTCTCTCCCCACCAACCCTACCTTGGAGATCTTTTTATTAAAATAGAATATAGTTTGTATCATGCCAACTCCTGAGAGTATTCTACAGTAGGAACACATTATTGGCAATTTTCCTGTGGGTGTTCAAGGTGTGCTGTGTTCTTTGCCTTCCTAGTACTTTCAGACAAGTAGGGAAGAGAAGAGGGTTTTCAATAACATCAAGAGGCAGGCACAGCAGTCATTAATCCCAGCTCTTAGAAGCCTGAAGCAGGAGGATCACCAGTTCCAGGCCAGTCTGAGCTACATAGTAAAACCCTGTCTCAAAAAAACCAAAACCCAAAACCAAACATCAAATGTGAAATCATAACTATAAAGGGAGGTTATGATGCTTTTGAACCTGACTAATAGGGAAGTCTCTTAGCAAGGAAATAAAAAAAGTACTTTCCAAGGGAAAATACCTATAACAAATTCAAAGGGCAGGTGAAAGCTTAATCTGGTTAAGCATGGGGATTGGAAGCACTACCAGTTGTAAACTTCAGCAACAGTGTGATGGAGGAAGTATGAGAGGTGATGAAATTCACAGGGAATTTGCTTTTACAAACTTATACCTTGTTTTTAAATCAGTAAAACAACAAGATCACAATTTTTTCTTTAGCTTTAGAAACACTTTTAGTCCAAGAGAGAATTTATGAAGTAGTATGTAATATTGACATTATAGTAATAGTAACAGTTCTGTAATTACAGACCTTCTGAAAATCAAATAGAAAAAAAGTAGTAACATCTCATATGGGTTCTGAGATAACTGGCCTCCTCTCTGCTCCACTATCACACAGCTGATGACTATCACAATGGAAATAATGACTATCACAAATATGAGGCCTTCCTCTTTCTCAACATAAGGAATAAATCTTTCAGCCTTCTAGGAGAGCAAAGATTCAAGAAAAGCAAGTTTTCCTGGTTGACTTCTCTTTAAAAAGCAACAGCCAGTGAGAGTGGTGGTACCACTCCTGTAATCTCAGCTACTCGGGAGGCTGAGGTAGGAGGATCAAAAGTTCGAGGCCATTAGCGAGACCCTGTCTCAAAATATAAAAAGGAGGGAACTCTTGCCAAGCTTGTGCTAAGAGTGGAGTGGCTGGGTGGGAGGGGTAGGGGAAGCAACAGTCCATGGAAATGTCTGGTCTTGACATAGGATTAGGGATCTTCAGTATGACCCGGGTTGGGTCTAGCACCTTCATGGTCTCCACCAGCAGGTGTATTTTAACCCGTCATCTTCTAGGAAGACAGGGCCCATCTTCATCTCCCTACCAGGTCAAGCACTGGGTCGCTTGTGAGCAACGAGTAAATTCGTGGAACCGGGGAATCTCCACAGCGCAGCGTCAAAGAGGAAGTCACTCAAAAAGCAGAAGGAACGTGTTCACTATCTAACCCATAATGCACAGCTCGCCTTCCTGAAGAAAGCAAGGACTGCAACCTCTAACGACGCATTTATCGGGGCGGAGGTCGTGTGCGAGAAACATGTACGTTCGTGGGACAGGGGAAATCCCGAACACGGGAAGCACTAAAGAGGAAGTCACCCAAAGGTCAGAAAGAACAACGTGTTCACTACCTAACCCACAATGCACATCTCTCCATCTCGGAAGCAAGGAGTGCAAAACAACGTATTTATCCCGGAAGCTTTTCGCTTGGAGTCTGATTGGATGCGAGGTATCATGGCACTTGGTCTGTCTCCCGGTACGCATGTGCACACCGCCCTCGCCCGACTCCAGGAAGTGACGGCAGCCCGAGATACACGTCAGCGAAGCTGGCCAATCCCCTGCAAGCGCAGGCGCAGAGGCTCTGGCAGCACCGGAAGCGCAGGAGGGGGTGGGGCGGCGGTGACGCGATTCTGTCCGCGTTGGAGCGGGCGGGCCTCCGCCAGAGTGTCCGCGGCCGCCGTGTGACGTGGCACAGCAGGAGTCTTAACGCCAGAGCCGGAGCGGTAGCGACAGTCTCCGAGCAGGTCCTCGCCCCACTAACTCTCGTCCCGGTGCTTCACCGACACGCCGGCCAGCGAGCCGTCCCTGCCGCCTTCTTTCTTCCTTAGCTCTTTCTCTTCTGCTCAGTTTGTCGTGAGCGTGATAGAAGGCCCGCGGACGCCGTAGACCCCTTCTTGTGCCCATCGCAAGTGCCACTACCGCCATGGGCCTCACCATCTCCTCTCTCTTCTCCCGCCTCTTCGGCAAGAAACAGATGCGCATTTTGATGGGTGAGTGACGGACTGCAGGTCGAGGCCAGGCTCCAGTAGGGATCGCAGAGGGAGGCCGGGTCTCTACGCTGGGAATGGCCCTGTTTTGTCCTCCGCTGGCCGTGGTGGGGGAGGGGTGGCGGGTCGGGGGTCGGGATTAGAATTCATCCGGGGAATACAATGGGGGCTAAAGCGTGAGCGGTCGTCCCCCTCCATATCTGTCTCCCGAAGCGGCCAGGACAAAGCGTCGGGCAAGGTTTCTTCTTTCTGGGCTTGGCTTTTTCCCCTTGTTTGGGCGGAAATGTGGGGTTAACGGGTCCCATTGGGATGGTGCCATCTTCATCCCCTTGCCCTGGGTATGGGCAGCGGTCGGGAGGTGGCGAGGCACCTCCAGCCTCCTCCTCCCCCGTTCCCCTCCGTGTACGCACCCTGCACTCCCCTTTGGCATGTGAGCGTCCGGGACAGGAAGTGACCAGCCCTGAGTCGTGGCGAGGGAGCACCCAAGGTTTGCAAGGAGTCCGGAGTCCTCACTGCTTCTCCTGCTCAACTTTGCCTTGCGCTGCCTTCGCCTTCGTTTTTTTTCCCTTGTTAAGTTCATTCCATGAAAACTGAGTTCGTCGTGTGTCTGTTTCCCCAACTGCTTTCAGGAACTCAGTATATTTGGTGTGTTATCTTTGATTTTGCAGGCTAATTTTTGTCAGCTGGTTTCAGGTTTAATGCCAAAAAAACACGAATATTTTAGCTTTTCAATACCTAACTGAACAATTTCAGGCAGAGTATCATTGTTAAATTTGTAGTAACTACAAAGTTGTTGCTTAATTCTTTTTGGAAGTAGAATTTTTTAAAACTGCTTTTCAGGAATCTTTTTTTTTTTGCCCAGCTAAGGCTGTCGCTTTGGACAGTGTAAACCACCCCTCCTCTCTAGTGCTGTGCTCTGTACCTCACAGCTGAGCTCCGTGGGCCTGAATAATGAGCTCCTCTTAACTTTGAACGTTGAAGCTTGTTGGTTTATTAGCTTATTAGTTTGCCAGGGTGGGGAGAAAAAGATTCTTTTTATGCTCCACTGCCTTCGAAAGTTTCTAAGGCAAGGTTCTGTAATATTTCGAAGTATATGAAGAGGATGAGCAAACACAATTGGTTCTTGTTTCATTTTCCTGTTAATTCAGCTTCTTTATAATCCATAAAACAGTCGTTCCTGATTCAGTCACAAAGATAAGTCAAAATGTTTTCTTTTTCAGAGTTTCTCAGATATCCTCTGAAGAGGACAGAATTATTTTAGTAGGGCAGGCATGTTATTTAAGCTTTAAGTGGCTGAAAAGTGGCAGTTCGAAAAAGGACCTGAAGTCAATGGAATAATAAATTTCCAATTTGTTTTTTAGAGATTAACCAGTATGTGATTGTGTTCTGGAAAATGTAGTGTTTTAGTCTTTGCTTTGTTTTGTTTTGGATGGTGCTGGGGTTTAAACTCAGGGCCTCATGCTTACTGGCCAGGTACTTTACCACTTGAACCACACCTCCAGCTGTATTGGTCTTTTAACTTGAGACTTACTGTAAATGAATTACTGCTTTTTATTCCCATGGTCTTTTGTGATTGCCAAGACTGTTAAGATAGGGACAAAAGGAAGGGTGATGCTGTAATCACTTTCCTGTACTTACTGTTAGGGAAACTGTCCCCTCCCTCACCAAATAATGATTGGAAGAAAATGGAGGAGGACAAGTATTTAACTTGCAGCATTTGTGCAAGAATAGAAGTCATTCTTAATTTTATGTCACATACATATGTATTATATATAAAAATTGTGTCGTTGTATTTGGATGCGAACTTGGTCTACAGGTTGCTAGGCAAGTGCTTTTACTAGTTGAGCCACGCCTCCATCTATGCAGGTTTACTATTCTTAGTTTGCATTTAAATTTCAGAAAAATCAGTTTTCCTTGAGTAAAGGCACTACAGTCACAAAGTCAACTTGTAAACATGAGTGGTGGGTGTGTGTACAGGAAGAAGTGACTTGAAGTTTGGTAATTCTTAGGTTTTTCTATGTGGCTTTATGAGTGATTGATAATATAAATAGAATACTTTTAAGGTGTTTGTCCCATTCAAGTATTGGAATTACAAATCATAAAACAATTGTTTATGATTCATTCACAAATACAAGTCAAAAAATGTTTTGTTTTTTTCAAATTTCCTCTGCAGGTAGGACAGTGACTTTTTTTTTTTTTTTTTTTTTTGCGGTACTAGGGCTTGAACTCAGAGCCTACATCTTGAGCCACTCCACCAGCCTTTTTTTTGTGAAGGGTTTTTCGAGATAGGGTCTTGCCAACTATTTCCCTGGGCTGGCTTCAAACCACGATCCTCCTGATCTTTGCCTCCTGAGTTAGCTAGGACACAGGTGTGAGCCACCACAGAATGATTTTTTTTTTGTTTGTTTCTTTTTTTTTTTCTTTGTGCCTGAGGTTCCAACCCAGACCATTGCACATGCTAGGCAAGTGCTCCACCACTGAGCTATATCCCCAGACCTGAATGATGTTCCTACTCCCCCCATATTTCATTAATGTGCTTTTAGTTCCTTTATACAGCAAGAATAAAATCCATACCTTTTTGCATCAATAGCTTTTTCAAACTGTAGCTTTGTTGTTTATTTTGGGGGACTGGGGATTGAATCCAGGGTCTCTCCAATGCTGAGCACATTGACTAGCACTGATCCATACCCCAGCCTTTACTATTTTAAAGTGTATTAAAAGGTAGCATTAGTTATGTCTGGTTTGCCAAACTTCTATGGAGAATATGTAAATTTAATTTCTGCACTAGCTGCTCTCCCAGAAGCTTAAGTAATTTTGAAAGGTGTTAGAAGATATGATTGATGGCTAACCTTAATTATTAATAAAAAGCCAGCATAGTATACCAAATTTAACATCTCAACTACTGACCAATAGAAATTATGTAGTATTTACTTACAAGGAAAATTGCTCATGCAGATGGTACTGAGATTAAATTCAAGGCTAACCAGTGTTCACCTGAGATTTCTCATGTAGCCGTAGTTGGAAAGCAATAGCCGTAGATTACCTGATTTTAAGTTGGGTCCGTATCTTGGTGTACAATAAGATGTAGTTTTGGTAAATGAAACCTTAAATTTTGTTTATTTCTGAAAATACTAATGTGTTTTTCACAGGAGTTACTAATTCTAACTTCTTTCCAACTTTTGCTTTTTTTTGCCTGTTGAAAAACTGAAAAGAATTGCATTTTGAAAATGTTTATTTTTCTGTTTTGCCTTCTATGTCAATGTGGGTTTTGGGACCACAGAAGTTCAAGAGGAAGGATCCTCTATTTGCCAATTTCAAGAATATGCCAATATTTTAAGTGAGCCTTCATGCTAAAGAGTGGTGCTTCGTGTTTTTTCCCTAGAACATTTTGTAAAACCATTTAAGTAATTTTTTCTCGTGATTCTTTAAAAAGTTCCTTTTTGTGAAATTTAAACGTGAAAGAATAAAGTAATTACTAATAATTCTATAGTTTCACTGTTATTTTGTCATATTCACGCTCAACCTTTTAGAAAGTTTTGGTTCTAAAACTGTAGCTGTGATACAGTTTTGTGTTCTTTTTGACTAACATATTACAAGCATTTTCTCATGGCAGTAGTTGAAAACATAATTGCCGGCCTTCTTCTTCTTTTTTTTAAATGTCCCTTTCTTCTAATTAGCTACATGAATATAGGAAACAATAGAAAAGGCAAAAATGGAGTTTCATGCCACTAGAAGTTGTGCCCCCCTGCATTATTAAAGTATGGCTGTCAGTCTTTGATAACTTGCTGCCTGTTTACTCACAAAAGTGGAAAAACCCGAACTCATTCATTTTTCTGTATCTGGTACCTTCTGTCTCAGTTTGGATGATTGAACCTCTGAGGAATTAGGTAAAATACTAAGACACAGTACAGTTGTCACAAAAACTTAAGGCAGATGGCAGTATATAAATACTGACTGAGAGCTCTGGCATCAGAGTTAGGATTTTTTTTTAAACTGACATAATTCATATACCATAAAATTTACCCCGTGTACAATTTTGTAATTTTTTAGTTTATTTTCAAAAGTATTTAACAATAACAATTATCTCCATCAAATTCTAGAATATTTTTCATCATCCCCAAAAAGAAATCCCTTAATCTTTTACCAGTCACTCCCATTCCCACTTTATCCATCCTCTGGCAATCAGTAATCTTCTTTGTTTCTATAATTTATGTATTCTGGACATTTCTTCGTAATTGGATCATAACATATGGCTTTACTATATTATGGCTTTTTCATGAATGGCTTTTTCACTTGGCATAATGTTTTTTAAGTTATATTAGTACTTCATTTTACGTGTGAATGAATATTAATTCATTGTATGGATATGCCACATTTTATTTATCAGTTGGTGGAAATTTGATTGTTTCTACTGTTTGGCTCTCATGAACAGTGCCATTATGACCATTTGTGAGCAAGTTTTTGTGAGGCATGTTTTTAATTCTCCTCAGTAAATACCTAGAAGAGTAGAATCCTTGGGTCATATGGTAACAGTAACATTGTGAGATCTGACAAGCTATTTTCTAAGGTAGCTGTACCATTTTACATTCCTACTAACTGTTGGAGGTGTAGCTCAATGGGAGCATACTTGCCTAGCCTGCACAAGGCCCTGGGATTGATCCCCAGGATGCCAAAAAAATGAAAAGATAAAGGAAAACATGGAGAAAAAAATGTATCAGTTTACACATTTGAAAACAATTGTTTTCTTCCTCATCTTATTCCTGTTCCTTTCTTAAAGTTGAGATAATTGCATCCAGCTTCTTTAACTTATACTGCTGTAATTTGGTAATACAACCCTCCTCCCCCTTTTTTGGGGCAGTAATGGGATTTGAATTCAGGGTCTCATACTTGCTAGTCAGGTGCTCTACCACTTGAGCCATGCCCCCAGCACTTTTTCCTTTAGGTATTTTTTGAATAAGCTCTCATGTTTATGCCCTGGCTGGCCTGGATTCCAATCCACCTATTTATGCTTCCCCTGTAGCTGGGATGACAGGCTCACACCACCATGCCCAGCTTCTGGTTGAGATGAGGTCTCCCAAACTTTTTGCCCAGTCTGGCTCAAACTATGATCTTCCTGATCTTTGCCTCCTGAGTAGCTAGGATTTCAGGTATGAGCTACCATACCTGGCTCCCATACATTTTTTTTTTCCCCGTTGGCACTGGGGCTTGAACTTCGGGCCCACACATTGAACCACTCCACCAGCCCTTTTTTTTTGTGATGGGTGTTTTCAAGATACAGTCTTGTGAACTGTTTCCCTGGGCTGGCTTCAACTGCAGTCCTCCTGATCTTTGCCTCCTGAGTAGCTAGGATTTACAGTTGTGAGCTACCAGTGCTGGGCCCAGCCATACTTTTTAATGATTGCAAAGGCAGGCATTCTACCACTTGTGCTATACCCTGAGCATAAGGTAGTTCTACGGGCTGTATTAACACTTTGGTCAGAATATATGCCTGGTTAAGGAGAACAAGTAGTGATTCCAATATGTATTTCAAGACTGACTTGTTTGTGGAGGTGGAAGGGAGGAAAATCATTACTGGATTATACAGAATAGTCCTATCTGGGCTTATTCCGAATTGGTTATATTTAATTTTTTGGAAAGATCTCATTGGCAAATATTGCAACATTAAGGAAATACATACTTAAGAAATTACTAAAGTGGCACAAAATTGTTAGACCAATGTTTTTAAGTAAACTCTTTAAGTAGTTTTAAGTGATGATGGGGACTTTACAGCTCCCAGTACAAATGTGTTTTTAAAAATCTTTTGGTTTGCATTTATACAGCACTATTTTTTTGGGTGCAAATATAAGATAGCTTTTATGTGGCTGTGAGCCATTAAATATTTGTAGTTTTAATTTAAAAATAATTTGCTGATTCTTAAAAGGACTTTCTGGTTACATTACTTTGTAAAGGCTTTCCTTAAAAAAAAAAGAGAGAGAGAAGCCTGGGGAGATAGGTCAGCAGTAGAACTCTTGTCTAGCACTAATGAAGCCCAGTTGGATCCTCAGCAAAGATTAAAAAAAAAAGTCATCTTCAGAAAGATATATTGGGAAATGTAACCAGCCCAACATTTTTTTAAAGAAGCAAAGACCCAGTTTATTTAATACTCTTCAAAATACTTCCTTTCCCGCTATAACAAAGCAAAAGTCTTATCATTGTATGAGTCTAAGAAAATTGTTTGTGTTGATACATGAATGTACATATAGAAAAGGAGATATCCTCAAATCATCTTGTGGTTATCTTCCACCCCAGCATTTTATTAAAAGAAATCTACTTGGACTTTTTTCTTTTTTTTTTAAAAGGAAAGTAATACATGCTCATTGATTTAAAAAATTCTCACAATAGACAATTAGAAGAAACTTAAATACACATAAAAGGACTGGGGTGCATCTCAATGGTATATAAGCAGATGTAAAACTTTAAGTGGTGGTAAGAGCTCCACCAGTTGAACCTCCAGTGAGGAACGGTGGAGTCTCAAAAAAATAAAAAAATAAATAAACCCCACTCAAGTGGTTTTGCTTTCCTAATCAGCATCTCAGTTTCAATTCTGGCTTGGGTTATTGATATTTTGATTTCACAGTGAATTCTGATGTACTTAAAAATTTTATCAAAATCACCCCAAAAAGTTCTTATACACTAAAAAGACAGCTTTGTTGAAAAATTTAAAGATCGGGTTACTTCTTACTCCCTTCCTTTTGTTTTCTGTATTTTACCAAAGTAGCTACTTTGTATATTTTTTCAAGTTATGTTTTATGATCTTTTTGATACTGTTCTACATTCTAAAAACAAAACATCTTGTGTATCAGTTTTTCTTTTTGTTTCTTTCTTTTTCTTGATACTGGGTTTGAATTTGGTTGAGCCACATTCCCAGAAAGTAGTCTTTTTTTTTTTTTTCCCTTCAGTACTGGGGATTGAACCCAGCGCTTGGAGCACTCCACCACTGACCTATACCACCTGTTTTTTCTTATTATGCCCATGAATTAGGGCCTAGGGGAGACTGGCTACTCTGACTAGTGCATGCTATATTATTTTGGAAAGAGCACAGTCTTTATCCCAGTATAAAGAAGTAGGGAACAAGGTTTGGTTAGAGAGTAAAAGGAATAAGAAGAGTCTCTAGAGTGACTTTTTTTTTTTTTAAACCGATAGTATATTTACATGTCCTTGTCAAGGAGAGTGCTAACCTTCTCTCATGCAGCACCTCCAGAGAGATCTTTTTTTTATGTGTGTGGGGCTGAACTCAGGGCCTCACACTTGCTAGGCAGGCACTCTACCGCTTGAGCCACTCCACCAACCCTTTTTTTTGTCATGGGTTCTTTTGAGATAGGGTCTCATGAACTATTTACTTGGACTGGCTTTAAACCGTAACCCTCCTGATCTTTGCCTCCTGAGTAGATAAGATTCCAGGCGTGAGCCATCGGTGTCTGTCTTCTCCAGAGAGATCTTACAGCTACCCTTTGTAGAGTACAGGGTGTAAATGATTGTTGTGTAGGTGGAAGGAGTATGAAGTTCTGTAGCTGTCACTTCTCTTTTGCACTAACTGATAAAAGTTAAACTGACTTGAACAGGAATGTAAACTAGGTAAGGTTTTTGGTTCAGTCATACTTTAGCATAATATTAAGGTGCCCTTGTCTAAATCAATAACTCAGTTTTATTGATTTTAAATATCTATTCTAGAAAAATGATACATTTGATGAGGCTGTTAGATGCTGATCTTTCATTTATGAGGGATTTAGCAGTCAGGATAGAATATTCAGGTATTGAGATTCATACTTAAGAACATTTCACTTGTTGTTCACTGTCACTGTAACAAAGAGGCTTCTCCTCTACTAATATAGATCCCCCCCCCCCCCCCCCCCCCCCCCCGCCACAAACAAGCATATTCCTCTCTACTTAAATCTGCTTCAAGTCAATTTAAGAATTAGGACATTTTACTTACAATGGAGAAGAATAGGATAGGGTCATTTTTATAGAACAGACCAACCAGACTTTGATCTCTTTTTCTGTGTATTTGATATTGCAGTGGATTTAGATCGTGGGAGAATTAGTCTTCATGTATTATCATTACAAGGGGAATAGGACATAATTACGTATGTTTTCCTCTTTGCATCAAGACCTTTTACTCAAAATACGCTGCTCTGGGGCTGGTAGAGTGGCTCAAGTGGTAGAGTACCTATTTAGCAAGCGTGAGGCCCTGAGTTCAAACCCCAAAACTACAAAAAAAAAAAAAAAAGTTATTCTGTGTAAATAAAAGGAAAATTAAATTTAGGATTCATTTGCTCTTATGTGTGCTCTGATTCACCTTCTAATTTGTGTTTTTAAAAATAGTAGTGCTTCATAGAGTTGAACTTGAGTTGGGAGAAAGCTTAGATTATCTGATCTAATCCTTTTGTAGTATGGCTAATTTCTCTCAGTTCTGTGTCCTAAAGTGACATAGGGATAAGGATATAGCTGAGTGTTAAGAGAGTTTGTCTAGCATGAGCAAGGTTCTGGGTTTGATTCCCAGCACCACCAAAAACAAAAAAGAAAAGAAGCACTCAGAGTCAACCGGATACTTTTTTTTTTTTTTTCTGTTTTTTCCCCCCACTACTATATGCAGTTTCTAGATCTAGAATGAAAATGGAAGCTTCATGTAGGTAATGCTACCTTTAGGAATTGGAAGCTAATTTCTAACTCATACTTGTGCCTCGAGCAGTCAACTTTTACTTTGAAATTATAAATTATTGTCATATTTTGCATGCTTTTGGTGCAGATTTTAAATCTATAATTTCTTCTTCTAGTTGGATTGGATGCTGCTGGCAAGACGACCATTCTTTACAAACTGAAGTTAGGGGAGATAGTTACCACCATTCCCACCATTGGTAAGAAAATTTACAGATGACTTTATATCATGATGAAAAACTTGAACAGTTAGAATCTGGGTTTTTGCTAAGCTTGCCAATTATCTTAGTAAGACTAAAAACAAAAAAACTATCCATGAGAATTCCACAATAAAGGGATTATTTTCATAATGATGCTTTGTAAGCTGCTGATTATGTTAGTAAAACTAAAAAAGAAAAAACTATTCCAAATAAAGGGGTTTTATTTTCTTAATGATGATTCATTGTTAACAGTAGTCATTTTTTTTTTCTTGTAGGTTTTAATGTGGAAACAGTAGAATATAAGAACATTTGTTTCACAGTATGGGATGTTGGTGGTCAAGATAAAATTAGGCCTCTCTGGAGGCATTACTTCCAGAATACCCAGGTAAGGAATGGGTTTCATGCTCTGGATTTTATATTAATATCTAGTATTAATATGGGCATTAGTGTTTACTATATGAATTTGTGTTCTTCTTGTCACCTCTCATTTGTATTCTTTAGTGGACTGTCACTCATGCCTTCGAAAGCTAAATTACCAAGTAAGGAAGAAGTAAATAGCCATTCCAGTAAGATTTTGGAAGATGGGGGTGGGGTGGGTATTGATGGGCTCTCAAGAATGAATCAAAAAGAATTAACCTAGAAGGTAACACCCACGCATAGGAAATCAATGTGAGTCAACTCCCTGTATAGCTATCGTTATCTCAACCAGCAAAAACCCTTGTTCCTTCCTATTATTGCTTATAGTCTCTCTACAACAAAATTAGAAATAAGGGCAAAATAGTTTCTGCTGGGTATTGAGGGTGTGGAGGGGAGAGGGAGGGGGTGGAGTGGGTGGTAAGGGAGGGGGTGGGGGCAGGGGGGTGAAATGACCCAAGCTTTGTATGCACATATGAATAATAAAAGAAAAAAAAAAGAATGAATTAGGTAACACTAGATGTTGTGGCACATGCCTGAAATCCCAATATTCAGGAGGCAGAGGCAAGAGGTTGACAAATTTGAGGCTAATCTGATATACGCCATGAGAATCTGTTTTAACAAAAACAAATTAGGGCCAGGTGTGGTGGCTCACGCCTGTAATCCTAGCTACTTGGGAGGAGGAGATCAGGAGGACAGTAGTTTGAGGCCAGCCTGGGCAAAATGCTAGTAAGATCCCATGTCAGTCAATAAGCTGGGCCTGGTGGCACATACCTGTGATAGGCCTAGATAGGTAGGATCCTGGTCTGAGGCTGAGCCCAGGCCAAAATTTAAGACCTTACTTGAAAAATAACTAAAGCATAAAAGGGCTGTGGGCATGGCTCAGCTAGGCTTGCCTAAAAGCCTGAGGCCCTGAGTTCAAACAAACCCTACTACCACCAAAAATAAAAGTGAATATGCCATCAATAGTTCTTTTGGTTTTAATCTTAATTTTAGAAAGTAAAATGTAGTGTAACTTTCTCATAGTAGTTTATAATGTATGCAAGGCAGTGAGTGATAGACCTTCATTTAGCCCAGTGAAGTGTTTATGTCATTGGTGACTCTGCTGTGTGAACTCATAGAATAGACACTTCAGGAATGAAAGATACCTGAGAGAGCCCATAGATTAGGCGTCCTCAAATTTGGCTGCATGTTCGAATCCCCTGTGGAGCTTTCAAAATCAGTACTCCAAGCATAGCCCAAGACCCCTTGAATCAAATCTCTGGGCATGCGAGTCCAATACCATTAGTGTTTCTCAAGTGTTAATGTGCATATGACTCACTGGCATTTGTTAAAAATAACATCGATTTAGTAGGGCATGGCTAAGGTACTGGCAAGTTTTTTAGTGCTGATGTATCTTGTTTGGGATCTTACAACAGCAGCCCTATTGACATTTTTGGGCTGTGGAGAGGGCTCTCTTATATTTGTAGGATGTTTAACATCATCCTCATCCTTAAAGTGTGATATTAAATACTTGATATATATGCTTAGGATTTGCAAAGTTATGCATTTCTTTAACATGTGGAACATTGCGTACAACTGAGGTACAATGCTACCAGGTTGTAGTGAATATCCTAGTTGAGTGCCTGGAACAAACCTGGTGTAAGTAGTAGGCCTTGTTAAATAAGTGGTATGCTTTTTATTTGAAAATGAGAATGTTTGTGTTCCTCAACTTGGCTTTGTTTAGGAAAGATATTTTGATACAGGAGTATATGACTTAAAAAATGTTATTATAGAAATAGAGACTAACACAATAAACCCCCATGTATATATTATGCAACTGTAATTACTAAGATATTATCAGTATTGTTTGATCTGTACTCACCTCTAATATGCCCAACCTCCTAGATGGTTTTGAAGAAAGTTGTAGACTTTTAATTAAGGAATGTGTCTGTGAAGGGAAGTTAGATTTGGTGTAAAGTACTTATTTAGTGATTGAAGATTAAGTGTTAATTCCCACAGTGAGTCCTGATAGTGATTCTGGTCAGGAGTGAATAAAACATTCCTTTGTCTGCCAGAGTTAGTATAGTTATATAAGTAAAAGATGAGAGGGGTCAAAAATAGTTTTGGGGTCAGGGTTGTGGGAAGAACACTATTTAATCGATCACTTTAGTTAATAGGAATAGATTTTTAATAAATCTGTGACATTAGTATGTTCCTGCTTTTCTAGTTGAGAATTTTACACTCTTCTATTTGAAAGTTTTAGGAAAGTCTTAATTCACTTATTGTATCCCAGTTCTATTTTTTTGTAGTACAGAATTCTAATATTTATAGTATCTTTAAAATTTGCTACTCCTTCCTCTTTTTTTTTTTTTGTGGCGGAGGTTGGGTGGTGAAGTGGGTGGGCGTGGGGGTGAGGGGGGTGGGTGGTGTGAGTGGTGGTGGTTGGGGTGACGTGACGTGGTGTGGTGGGGTGAGTTGTGGTGCGGTGGGTGGGTGTGGTGAGGTGGAGGTGCGGTGGGTGGTGTGG